TTCCAAAGGAAAATCTCCCAGCAGAAATAAGAAGCCGTCCTTGACAGCTGTCATAGATAAACTGAAGCATGGGGTTGTCACCAGTGGCCCTGGGGGTGAAGACCCACTGGACGGCCAGATGGGGGTGAGCACAAATTCTTCCAGCCATCCTATGTCCTCTAAACATAACATGTCAGGAGGAGAGTTTCAGGGCAAGCGTGAGAAAAGTGATAAAGACAAATCAAAGGTTTCCACCTCTGGGAGTTCAGTGGATTCTTCTAAGAAGACCTCAGAGTCAAAAAATGTGGGGAGCACAGGTGTGGCAAAAATTATCATCAGTAAGCATGATGGAGGCTCCCCCAGCATTAAAGCCAAAGTGACTTTGCAGAAACCTGGGGAAAGTAGTGGAGAAGGGCTTAGGCCTCAGATGGCTTCTTCTAAAAACTATGGCTCTCCACTCATCAGTGGTTCCACTCCAAAGCATGAGCGTGGCTCTCCTAGCCATAGTAAGTCACCAGCATATACCCCCCAGAATCTGGACAGTGAAAGTGAGTCAGGCTCCTCCATAGCAGAGAAATCTTATCAGAATAGTCCCAGCTCAGATGATGGTATCCGACCACTTCCTGAATACAGCACAGAGAAACATAAGAAGCACAAAAAGGAAAAGAAGAAAGTAAAAGACAAAGATAGGGACCGAGACCGGGACAAAGACCGAGACAAGAAAAAATCTCATAGCATCAAGCCAGAGAGTTGGTCCAAATCACCCATCTCTTCAGACCAGTCCTTGTCAATGACAAGTAACACAATCTTATCTGCAGATAGACCCTCAAGGCTCAGCCCAGACTTTATGATTGGGGAGGAAGATGATGATCTTATGGATGTGGCCCTGATTGGGAATTAGGAACCTTATTTCCTAAAAGAAACAGGGCCAGAGAAAAGAAACTATTGATAAGTTTATAGGCAAACCATCATAAGGGGTGAGTCAGACAGGTCTGATTTGGTTAAGAATCCTAAATGGCATGGCTTTGACATCGAGCTGGGTGAATTAGAAAGGCATATCCAGACCCTATTAAAGAAACCACAGTGTTTGATTCTGGTTACCAAGAAGTCTGTTCCTGTGCCAGAAAGAAAAAGTTAAAATACTTGCTTAAGAAAGGGAGGGGGGTGGGAGGGGTGTAGGGAGAGGGAAGGGAGGGAAACAGTTTTGTGGGAAATATTCATATATATTTTCTTCTCCCTTTTTCCATTTTTAGGCCATGTTTTAAACTCATTTTAGTGCATGTATATGAAGGGCTGGGCAGAAAATGAAAAAGCAATACATTCCTTGATGCATTTGCATGAAGGTTGTTCAACTTTGGGGTAGTTGTCCATTTGAGTCATGGGCAAATGAAGGACTTTGGTCATTTTGGACACTTAAGTAATGTTTGGTGTCTGTTTCTTAGGAGTGACTGGGGGAGGGAAGATTATTTTAGCTATTTATTTGTAATATTTTAACCTTTTATCTGTTTGTTTTTATACAGTGTTTTGTTCTAAATCTATGAGGTTTAGGGTTCAAAATGATGGGAGGCCGAAGAGCAAGGCTTATATGGTGGTAGGGAGCTTATAGCTTGTGCTAATACTATAGCATCAAGCCCAAGCAGATTTGTCAGAGCCCGCCTTTAGAGTTAAATATAATAGAAAAACCAAAATGATATTTTTATTTTAGGAGGGTTTAAATAGGGTTCAGAGATCATAGGAATATTAGGAGTTACCTCCCTGTGGAGGTATTGACTTGTAATCTCATTTTCCTTTCAAAAAAAAAAAAAAAAAAAAAAGCTAAGGTGGCTTGTTGGGATGTAAACACGTTTTCAGATGCAGTAAGGTTTAGTGACAGCCTTCCTGACCCGGTGGCATGAAAACCATTACAGAATTAATAGTTCTCCTGTTTCCACAATGTGCCAAAAGTCTGCATCCCAGCATTCTGTTTGCAGGAGAACTGATGCCATTCCTAAGAGCTGGACTCACTGTTTCTCTTCATCACAAGGAGAAGGAGTCCAAACTTTAAATCACTCCACAGTATGCTCCCTGAGATAAAACAGTAACAAATCCGCAGCCATAGTTCACTTAAAACAATTTCAAGCTCACTTGAAGTAATGGAGGCCTGGAATGCTAGGTGAGCATGAAGATAAACCCTTGCTACTATGTAGCAACCCAATTGGACCTTTCTGGAGAAATAGGTCTGAGTCTGGATTCTGGAGGACATCAATAAGAGCCCTTCACATAAAAATATAGAAATCCAGGAGACTGTTTTGAGTGCAACAGAAGTTCTCAGTTTTTGGAGGGTCCTCTCAAAAATTCTGCGGCCTTACTTTGATATTGACACCTGCACTGTGCCATTCCTGATTATTCCATTCAGGATCTGTATCAGCGGGATGGGGCATGGTCCCCAGCACAACTCTTCTGGGTTTAAAAAAAAAAAAAATGCCAGGTGATTCCTCTGTGTGTTATGTCATAAGTGGAGTGACTTCATCATATATGGAAGAAGATTTCTATATTCAGCTCTTTCTGCAGGTTGGAGTCAGCATAGAGTTGGAAAATCAGCTTTGGCTTTCTTTCCTGTCTCATTTCCTCTAGTGTTCTCCTTTTTATGGTCATCAGCTCTCAACAACTCTGCCACTTTTGTGTCCCAAGGTAATAAGATGTAGGAAACAAAACATTGCAAAGTGGAGCAAGAAAAGTTATCAGTTACCATATCAGAGTCAAATGTCTTGGGTGACACTAAGGAGGATATGGGCAGGTGATACCAGAGTGCTTTATCTTGTGATGTTGATATAGTAGCAGCCTCTCAGACATTCAGCCAGGTTGGATTTCTCACGAGTTTGTCACCTAGTTTTGAATCCTATCCAGTTGGTTTCTGCAGGGAAAAAAAAAAAGAAGTTACGTGGTTTTTAAAATTTGTTCTGGGTGGGGAAAATCTTACGGGGAATGTACTGAATAGTATCAGGGGCTCAGCTCCCCCAAGCAGGGCCAACAAATACCAAAATGAGTAAACTGGGAAGCTTTTCTCTCTTTCTGTCTTCATCCCAGATCAAAGAATCCCGAGTTAGGATCTGGATGAAGGATAAGCCCCTGAATTGTCGATGGGCTCACCCCCACACTGACCCAGCATCTGAACTTGCTTAACAGGGAGCCGGGGCTAAACTGCTTCACCCTGCCTGAGAACCAGGGAGCACTGCATTTCTCCACAGGGTGGAGGAGAAGAGGCAGAATAAACCAAGCCTGGGACACCTCCCTCCTGTCTAGGTGTACTCATTCTTCTGTTTCAAAAGAAGGCAAGGACATGAAGTCAACTTCTACCTATCTTCTGCTGCTGGTGTCTTACGTATTCTCAGTTTGACCTCATTCCTCTTCTGTCTTTTGGCTTAACATTAGGGGTTCTTGGTCATAACCTGCTCTGATGTACATGAAGATTTCAGGTTCAATGTCAATGTGTCTTAAAACAGAAGTATTTTAGTGGGTGGGGGGTGGGGTGGTGGGGACAAACAACGCAGGATATAATTGCCAAAACCAGGCTTGAGGTTGGTGACTCTTGAAAGATTTTCCTTCTTCAGGCCTAGATCGGAAAATTAAGTGCAGCAATATCATGAATTCTCAGAAGCCCTTTCAGGAAGCCAGTGAGTCATACAGTATCCACAGTTGAGTCACTTAAAGATGTCAGTATAGGAAACATTATTCACAATCCTTGGGCAGTCTCATTTTTTTTTTTCCTTCTCCCCTCCTCTCCTGCCCCCCATACATTTCTATCCTTGAGTTAGTTTTTGGAGGGGCAGGAAGTACTTAACATCTCAGAAGCTAGATTGGGAAACATGTTCAGCTATAAGAACTGAGCTTAAAATTTTGAGTTTAAAAATGTACATCAGGAGCAGCTGGGGAGGGTCTTTTTTTAAAAAAAAAAACTTTCAAATTTGGTTTTCTGTGCATATGGCCGTTCTGTAAATACTTTGGGGTTTTTCATTTTTTTGAAAGTAGATGAAATCTGTTGTGGGATTTTTTTTCCCGAAACATTACAAAATAACCTGTTTATTTACATGCAAATAAACTTCTTTGATAAAAAGTAATTTGCGTGTGTGTAATAAAATTTTAGACTTTGAATACTTTTTTCATTTGTTCAAAACTCCAGTCAATTTTAAAGAGTCAGTCAAAAGTAAATGTCTTCCCTGAGTACTACTTGAAATGGGTCCACTGGAATGGGTAACTGACAGACCTGTGAAACTTGCCTTCATTCTATTAATCTGTAGGCCAGTTTTTCTACCCTTTGCCAGTGTTACTCACCAAATGCATCAGTAGTTTTTGCTGGGAGAAAACAGCTCTTAGATGAGACAGAATGGAAAAGCTTTTTTATTCCACTGGCTGAAGTTAAGCAAAAACATTAAAAGTACCTGGAACAGGAGAAGACAGACCTGGGTTTGCGGGCCTGAGAATGAGTTTTCTGAAGCTAGGTCCCTGGTTTTAGGAAGCCCCCTCTAGGATTAATAAAAAAAGGGGGGGGGGCGGTCGTGGTGGCTCACATGAGGTCTGTAATCTCAGGACTTTGGGAGGAGGCTGGAGGATCACTTGGGCCCAGGAACTGCAGACGAGTCTGGGCAACATAGGGAGACCCTATCTCTACAAAAGAAAAAAGATCCCAGCATTCTGGGGGCTGAGGTGGGAGAATCACTTGTAGTCAAGTGTTACTGACCAGCCTGGTCAACATGGCGAAACCTTGTCTCTACTTAGCCAGGCGCGGTGCGGCGCGCTTGTAATCCCAGCTACTTGGGGAGACTTGAACCTGGGAGGCGGAGGTTGCAGTGAGCCGAGATCGTGCCACTGCACTCCAGCCTAAGCGACAGAGTTGAGCCTCTGTCTCAAAAAAAAAAAAAAAGTTTGTACAGTGCTTTAAGAGTTTGGTAATATGCCCTCCAGCTAAAATATACCTATTCTTAAAGATCTGCAGCACTTGTTGCTCTTGTTAATTTCTTAGATGCATAACAAGTCAGTCGCTAAAACCACTAATTAAAAGGGGTGTGAGGAAGACCAACTGGTAACTGCTTTGGAAGCATACAATTAGCAGTGCTGCTGCTCCTGCCAGGACTGCTGGAATTTATTACACAGTTTCTAATAGTTCACGCTTAGGACATGATTTTGTAGTTTGTTGTTCATAGAAGCAGCAACACAACTACAAAATCCTGGGTTATTCCTTCGTGGAAATTTGGTCATAAATTCTGAGACCTTGAAGGTCAGACTTGTTAAAACAATATAATATGATGACACAGATCAGCTTCTATACAAGGAGCCCAGGAGTATGATGAAGTGTTTCTTTCCATCGGGAAAATGCCCCCGCCTACTCGTTCACACACGCTTGTTTCTCCCGCCAAAATGACGTCAGGCCGAGGCTCTCACCAAACAGCGCCCTAACTGGCGGACAGGCAGGCTCTGCAGCCCATTGGGCGTCGGCGGCGGCCGAGTAGGGAAAACCAAAGGCCCTTGGGTCTTGCCCGCCCCACCCCCACAGACGCGCGCCCCTCCCCCGGCCAAAGGGAGGGTTGCCCGGCTCCGGCCCTGCACCCCCGACCCCCGGCCCCAGGTGCAGCTCCGCAGCCATCCCCGGACCAGGGCGGGCACTCGGCCTGCCGCTCAGCGCAACCAGCCCTCGCCCTCCCGAGCCATGCACAGGGAGACAAGGGTCCGGCAGTGGCCCCCCAGGCCTCCCTGCAGCACCCCGTAATGTAATACACTCGGGTGGGGGAGGCGGCGGCGGCGAAGGCAATCGCGGAGGCGGCGGCGGCAGCCGCACTGCCCCAATCTAGACACATCCAGAAAGAGGAGGAAAATGGCTCCGAGCAGGGACCGCCTGCTGCACTTTGGGTTCAAGGCAACAGTGAGTGACAGGGGAAGGGAGCTGGGTGGCCGGGAAGGGTGTGTGTGCCTTACAGGCTTCTGGGGAACAAGTAACGAGGAGTTGGGGGCGCGGGCAGAGGCTGAGGTTCTGTGCAGGTGGGTGCGTGCCTGTTTGCCCGCGGAGGGAGGAGATGGGGACAAGGGGCAGAAGAGGGGCCCCGCGCAGAGTGCGGTCCTGCTCTACTCTCCCTCGCCGGTCCGCGAGCACGCGCGCTCTCGCACCCACCCCAAAGACCCCTTTTCCACACGCACAGGCACTTCCCTGCCTCGCCTTCTCCCGATGGGCTAGCCTGCCTCGGAGGCGCAGGGGGTCGTGCCGCCGCCGCGCTCCGGATGCTCCTGGGCGCACCGTATGCTCCTGGGCGCACCGTCAGGGCCGGCCCCGTGTGGGGGAGGGGTGGTCTTGCGCCGCCGCCGCGCTCCTCCTCCTCCCGCCCCTCCCCCTCCCCGGCGCTCCGAGGCCCGGGCGGCTCTGTCCAATGAGCAGCGGCGTTGCTGGCAGGTGGGGAGTGTTTTTGTTTTGGGTTGAAGTTGAGGCTGAGGAGAGAGCCGAGCTAGCGACGTGCAGTCGTTGCGGCCGCTGGCGCCACGGGAGGTGGTGGAGGCCCAGCCGGAGCCGAGAGGTCTCTCGTTCCCGTCCCACGGCCCCGGCCTCACCCGTTCGACACCCAGTCCCCGTCCCGGAACTCCCGGGCCTGTCCTGGGCCCCAGGTCTGTGCACTCCGCTCGCCGCAGAGCCCGGCCCGGGCCGCACCCGCCGGCCCCATGAGGAGGGACGTGAACGGAGTAACCAAGAGCAGATTTGAGGTGTGAGCTTGGGGGGCTCAGGCGGCGTGAGGAGGACGGGTCGGGCTCTCTCATCCCAAAACGTCCGCCCCGCACGGAGCCTCCTCCCTGGCGGGCGCCGTCACCCACCCACTGGCGGGGCTGCCAGACTGCTCCCCTTTCTTGCGAACCGAAAGCCCAGCGCAGCCGGCTGCCCCCAGTCCCCTCGCCGGTTCGCCCCCCGTCTCTTCCCACCGGCGGGCCCCGGCGGGGGATTAGCTCGGGCGCCCTAATTCCCCCCCTCCCCCAGGATCGCTCAGCTTTCCATTCTTTACACAACCCTTGGCTTGCCTCCTCCTACCCAACCATCACGGCTCCGGTCCACCAGAGCCTGCTGCTTTTCTCTCTGCCACTTTCTTCATGACGCGTTTGTTGTCTATTGAGGGAGGAAATTAGGGGATGGATGCCATTTCTCCAAGTTTGAGACCTTGGTGAAACTAGGGAAGTGGGGGCGGTAGTCTGGGATGATAGAGGCGACCACGGGTTTTCGGTGCTGTGTTTGGTTTGGGTATTGTTCTGATACTTCCTCTTCTTCCCCGTGTAGTCTGTACTTCTGTAGCTCATTGTTTCTGGGAACCCTTGGATGTCTACATGCTTTGAGATTGGAACGAAAGTTCAGCAAATCCATTCCGGTCTTTTAGGAACTTTTTCTCCTCTAGCGAGGGAGGTTTACTGTCCTGGAATTGAGGAGTGGAAGGTCTTGAAAGCGTCTTTAGAGAGTAGTCATCGTGCAGGGAAGAGATTCCTTTGGGAAGTGAAGTATTGTAACTACTGATGAATTATAATAGTGCAACAATATTCTGGAAGGTTCCTTGAGGGTCAAGAGAAAGAAACTTCTACAGGAAGAGTAAATGTCACCTGGTCGTTTCTGGCAGAGAACCAGGCCGACCTGGGATCACTCACAGCTCAGTGGACAATCTCACTCGGTGTTTTTCTTCATCTCCATTTGAGAGATGAAATTGTAAGACGGCGGGACAAAAGTTTAAGAAACTGGACAAGTAGGTGCAGGGAGTGAAAACTTTTAAGGGTTGTCAGTTTAGTCTATTCTTTGATTTCTTACTATGCGAACTGGAAAATAATTTGAATTGATCCACGAAGATCAAGATAGGAAGTGTTTGGGGTGAGTTTAAGTTCAGAGCTACAGTGTTACTGTTGTACTCGAAGAGTGGAGAAAATCAAAGAATTGGCCTTAGAGTTTTAGTATTTAACTTGATCACTGGAAGAAGATATTATGGAATATATTATTTGGTTTTTAATAGGACATTGGATGACCCTCATGTACAGAGCCCCACTAAAGTTAATTTACGGTGGTTTCGTATTCAGTAGTACTGTAAAAATCCAGAATGTCACTAAAATTACCGAATAGATATTCAGCAGTTAACAGGAATCTTGAAAGGCAGTTCCAGATACTGAAGATTTGAGTCGGGGACAGTCTTTTGCCTGTGGAATTAGCTCTTTATCAGTTTGCTATTCATTTTAGGTTGAATAATTGTTGGAAAGTATTCTCTTGTGTGTACTTTAAAATTACGTTGCTATTTTCTATTTTTATAATTCTCTTATATTTTAATTTACAGTCTCTGTAGGGGTGGTATACTAGAATAAAGTGCTAAGAAAATTTGTTGCTTTATTAAGAGGTTTCTTTTTAACTTGTAGCTGATGTAGCTGGCAACTAAAGCTTTCTAAATATGGTCTGAGAAGGTTAAAAAAAAAAGAATAAGGGGGGGAAATCCTTCTTGGACGGTTTCATGATTAAATAAGTGTTTGTTTATAAACTAAAAGCTATTCACTTAGTATAATGTGACGTGTTCCATGCCAGAATACAGATGAGAATGGCTAGAAATGATAGTGTTAATGAAGTTCATTGAGTATTTCTTAAAACCATTTACCTCTTTATTGACCTAATTTACAAGGACTGAGACAATTAGTAATTGGCTTCTTAGGAAGTAGTAAATAAATTTACTGCTTATATGTTGAAAATATTTTAAATATTTACTTTCAGTCAATAAAAGATACGTAAATAAAGCAGATCTAAACATTTACATCAAATGATATTTTAAATCCTCAAAATTACAGTCTACTTCTTAAAGAACTGATAATTTTACAACTGTAAGCAGATAGCAGATCTCTCACTGAGAATTTTTGTGGATGCATGAAATGTTTATATCACATAATAGCTAATTTCAAATTGTGGCTGTATAAGATGTCTTTTTCTTGGAGAAAATAACTGCAGCTCTATGAATTTTAGATAGTTGGTTCATTGAAATCCTTTTATAGGTATGCTTTTGTATGTTGTAACTGGAGGCCACAGACCTTAAATCTCCCACTCTGCATTAGAGCTATATATCTAAAAAAAGATGTTTAAGTTAAAACCAAGGGGCCAGGTGAGGTGGCTCATGCCTGTAATCCCAGCACTTTGGGAGGCCGAGGTGGGTGGATCACGAGGTCAGGAGTTCGAGACCAGCCTGACCAATCTGGTGAAACCTGGTCTCTACTGAAAATACAAAAATTAGCTGGGCGTGGTAGTGGGAGCCTGTAATCCCAGCTACTTAGGAGGCTGAGGCAGGAGGTGAATCGCTTGAATCCAGGAGGTGGAGGTTGTAGTGAGCCGAGATTGTGCCATTTTACTCCAGCCTGGGCGACACAGCGAGAGACTCCGTCTCTGAAAGAAACAACAACAACAACAACAACAACAAGGGCGAGTAGTTGTTAGCCAGATGTGTAGCATCTTGTAGAATAGCCAAAGTAGATGACTACTGAATAAAGAGTCTCTAGTTAAGAGATCGAGAGATGTGAAAATTCATGTTTTCCTTGTTGTGTCACCTGGGCATTAAATGTATATAGTAATAACCCTTGTAGGTTAATGTAGTATGTGCTGAATTGTGTTAGTCACTTAATTAAAACTTACCATTCAGATATTTTTTATTATTTATAGTAAACTTTGTAGCAAATTTTAGTAATTTTCTTTCAAATTTAATGATGGTTATTGAACACTTCCTGCATGCCGGACACCGAGCCAGATGTTTTACCTCAGTTACCTCTTAGTTTTTGTTGACACCGAGCCAGATGTTTTACCTCAGTTACCTCTTAGTTTTTGTTTTGTTTTCTTTTTTCTTTTTTTTTTTGGAGATGAAGTCTCGCTCTTGTCCCCGGGCTGGAGTGCAGTGGTGCGATCTCGGCTCACTGCAACCTCCACCTCCCAGGTTCAAGCGATTCTACTGCCTCAGCCTCCCGAGTAACTGGGTTTACAGGCGCCTACCACTACGCCTGGCTCATTTTTGTATTTTTAGTAGAGATGGGGTTTCACCATGTTGGCCAGGCTGGTCTCGAACTCCTGACCTCAGGTGATCCACCTGCCTTGGCCTCCCAAAGTGCTGGGATTACAGGTGTGAGCCACTGCGCCTGGCTAGTTACCTCTAGTTTTACTATTCTGTTTTACACTTGAGGAAACTGGAGGCCTGAGAGGTTAAGTAAGGTGTTCAAATTGCACAGCTAGTAAGTGGGGGAGCCAGGATTCCAATCTGCATTTTTTTTTTTTTTTTGACTCCACTATCATCCTGCTTTGTTTTTAGTATAACTAGCAAGAAGTCTATAAAATTTTTGGAAAAGAGCTTTTCCAAAGTTCATCCATTATATTTTATTTTGTATTTGCTATTCCTGGGCTCAAGTGATCCTCTCCTCGGCCTCCCAAAGTGTTGTGATTACAGGTGTGATTACCACACCTGCCCACCTTCATTTTAAGCACCATAATTGACATTATCTTAACACTTAGTGAGATTAGTGTTTAAATATCTAGGCTAGCACTTGAGTCCAAGCTTAGGTTTCTTTCAGTTAAGCCTCTCCACTTTGTCATACTCTTAGTGGTTTCATTATAAGGATGTAGTACTGTTGGAGGAAAATTCTGTCTTAATGGGTTTATTAAAAAGCCTAACGTTAAAAAATAATCATAGTGGTAACATTAACTGACATTCAGATACCATTTTACAGTTTAAACAGTGCCTGGAGATAAGAACCCGTAAGTTAGAAAGTGATATGCTCCAATTTGGGTATTTTGAATCCATGTTAATTATGGTTTTTCATTACACCTCACTGCCTTTCTTATAAATCTGTAATATTACATGCAACCTGTAATCCTAGCATGTAATATTTGTTTGCCTA